GGCCGGCATGCCAAAAGGCAAACAGTCTGGTCCACAAATGTCCCAGCGGGCCCGCCGCACGCGAGCCGACTGGGCCAGCTGGACATCAAGTGTGCAGGTTCTTGAGAATGCTGCTAGCCGCTAGCCAAAGGCGTCTTGCTTCTGTGCCGAGGGCTGACGGAAGCAAGAAGAAGTGAAGAGCGCAGAGTTGTTTGACCTTGCAGCGGAAAAAATAATTCCCGCATGGTTGACCTCCAGCTCCAGGATGAATTCAACAGGTGTGTTTCGTTATGAAAATCTTTGTGTAGACTGAACAGCAGACAATCCATTCTTTTCGCTATTAACATCTATGCTGCGTTATTAATACCCGTGTTTCGCCATTAAAGAGTACCCTGCCCGCAAGGTGGGTACCCTGACTGCGCATTTCCTAGGGTTTCCTGACTCTGTCAAAATGGCTTCCTGACTTGGACGAGCCGGTTTCCTCACTCACGGTTCCCCTTCAACGTGTCATCATACAGTGAAGATCACATTCGACAGCCTGCCTTTCTCGGGCGTTTCCCTTCCACTAGATACAGCTGATCTTATAATGACTCAACGCCATCAGGCCTTCTGTGGGCCAGGCTTTTGAAATTGCCTGATAACTGGGCCAAACACCATACCTGACCACAAAATGAGAATCTCCACCGCTGCATCTATACTGATTCATATCGTCATAAGCAGAATCTTGTCAGCTATACTGAGCTGTGTGGCCGAAGAAGCCAAGAATAAAGTTGATGGTTAAGTTCGCATATCCTCAAATTGCAACGAAAGAAAATACAAACATCCGCACGTGAAATTATCACTTGAGGAACAATGCACAAGTGAGCTTGACGAGGTTCCAAGGAAATTTTGGATGTAGCCCTGCTGCTCCTCAATTCTCCAATTTGAATTGGACATTTCAGCAATTTCTCCGACTTTATTGCCCCTCGTCACCTCTCCTCTTCTGGTAAAAATGCATGGGCTGGCTGGACGCCTCGGCCCAAGAGCCCAAGGGCCATTTATTGAAAAGTCTTTCATCTCAGATCAAGGCTAAGGAGCAAAGCAACCTAGGTTTTCTGACAAAAGCTGGTTTTTGGTGACGCTGGGGAAAGGCCGCAAGTAGGTACAAGACAAGCCATGTGACAAACATGTTGGCCGCTAGAAGAAAGACATAGCAGAACCGTCACTGTCAGAAACAGTTTCTGGCTTTTGATGGACAAGCCTAGCAGAACCCTTCCAAGCACTTCCAAAGGCCTGTCCGAGGCCTCACCAGCTGGCCGGCCTGTTGCGGCCTCTCTGTGGCCTGTCCGAAGCCTGCCTCCTCTCTTCTTATGGGCTTCCGAAGGCGACGTTTAGGCATTTTGGACCGCCTTCAAAAGCTTTTCGGCCTCTTGCGGCCTCTCTGTGGCCTGTCCGAAGCTTCTCGGCAGCCGGCAGGCCTCTTGCGGCCTCTCTGTGGCCTGCCTCCTCTCTTCTTATGGGCTTCCGAAGGCAACGTGAGGCATTTTGGACCGGCTTCAAAAGCCTCTCGGCAGCCGGCAGGCCTCTTGCGGCCTCTCTGTGGCCTGTCCGAAGCCTGCCTCCTCTCTTCTTATGGGCTTCCGAAGGCAACGTTAGGCATTTTGGCTCGGCTTCAAACGCTCCCCAGAGCCTCACCGCAGCCTTGCCCTCTTCTCGGCAGCTGGTTGAATGCCAGCATTGGTGTGAAGCCCATCCAAGTCTCGCTGTTGAATCCCAGGAAGTTGTCAAGGTTCAACCGCCAAACCCTCGAGATGAAAAGGGGTCGGCGGCACCCGGGCGGAGCCCTTACAATTAAGCTGGTTGAGATACAGCTGCTAGCTCCTAACAAGTCTCAGGGAACAGCACTTGCGATTGCAGGCAAAGCAAACGCTAGCGGAAGTACCTTCGTGTGCAAACAGCTCCTACGGTCTATTTGCTGTATCATTCATGGAACAAAAACAATGGAACTGGTGTCAATTTAAGTTCCGTGTATGTTTCTGCGCAGCATGGGCACAACAGTGCTGAAACTCGCATACCTGAATATTGGTTCCACGGGGCACTGTTGTCTCCGAGCTGTCCACCGCGCAATCAACTGTCCTGGCCCCATTCGAGCGGTAGAGCTGCATGCTTGTGTCAAAGAACCAGATTTGGATTTTAGAAAGAAGGGCATCACTCGCTCCTGCCATCTGTTGATTTGCACTCAGGGCGCCTGGGCCTTGGGAAGCTCCAAAGAGCGTAAAAACGTACGTAAGCAAGTTCTCATCTAAGTTCAAAACGTATACCCAGGTCCAACAAAGGTGTGACAGAGCAAACCTGCCGCAGTCATAAGCTTCCTTGCCTGTACCGGCCTGCGCCCATGCCCATAACGGTCACCCATTCCCACTACTGTCGGTGTGCATCACGCATGATGTATTTATATATACACATACCTGAGAAGGGGGGACGAAAGCACGCAGCCGCCAGACGAGTGTCTCTTTTTCTGGCGGGCGTCGCGGCACAAGACACATGGTCGGCAGCTTGCGAGTCAGCGGTGCGGATGCGGGGGGGGGTATGTAATGGTGATGGAGGGAGCAGAGAAGCAAGCAGGGCGGCTTTGGGATAAGTTTGGTATGAAAGTAGTGAAAGAGAAACGCGATACGTTGTATGTTGGTGTAGGTCATCGTGACAAGGCAATGGCATGTGTTTGTCACACATCTTATGGAAGTTGGAAGGCGACATCACCGTTACCGTCTGTGTTCGAGTGGTGGAATACCACGTGCGCGCGCAGAAAGACCTTCTCCATAGTGAGCGTCGCCGCGCGGCGCGCGCGAGTACGGCATGCGTTTGAAAGGAAGCAACTTTTTGTGTTTGTTACATTTGGAGTGTTTGAAGTTTGCAATACTGCGGCGCGTCGAAAAGCGGCATTCGTTGATTTGGAAGAGTGAACAGGCACGTCTTAGCCGGGACACGGACGTTTGATCCCGCGGCGCAGAAGGGGAGGTCCAGCAGGAGTAGCTTGGGCTAGTAAAGGACTGAGGATTTGTGTGCCTATCGATGCACATGCCTGGACTTGAGTGGATCATGTTCTCTTTTCACCGATCCAAAAACCTTCTTTATTCTTCTCTTTCTTATCAACTCTGCGCTTGACTTTGGCACCTGCGTGTGTAGATCTTTGGGCCGTGGACCCAGGCTGACTGGATTCGGCCAGGGCTGCCAGCAAAAAGGCGACGTCATGAGTATTTATCTATCTATCTATCTCTATCTCTATCTCTATCTCTATCTCTATCTATGTATGTATCTGTCTATCTGCACCGGCAAGCCGGAAAAACGTTCGGTGCGTGGGGACGCCGCGAGAAGCATCCACTCGACCGAGGACATAGTGCAAGTATAGTTTTTGCTAGGGGGCAGGAGCCCTATGCGGATATGTAGTCAACCTCGCAGGCGCCCGCCGAAACAGTCCAAATTCATGGACTTGAACTCATGTCACTTTCGGTTCTCTATGGATTTCCCGAGTTACGGGTTGTCGTGGGGCCTCGTATCCTACATGCGGCTGCGGTCTGCTCTATAGACTCCAAAGAATGATGCACGATGCACTACTCGGCGTCCATTGCTGCATCACTCGCATCACCAGACCCCATTTTCACTGCTTTTCTGACCCTCGCTTTGGAGCGCTCTCCCCAAGCTCTGGGTTCACCCCAACGACCACCCCCCCCACCCCCCTTAACTCACTTCGTTCGCTCTAAAGCTCAAGCCTAGCCTATCGGCTGGCTTTCGTAATCTATTTATTTTTCACCACAAATCACCACCAGACATTCCTTTTGTTATTTTCTCTTTTTTGGGCTCTTCTTTGAGTTGGCTAGGGAAAAGGTGATCGGCCAATACAAAAAAGAAGACACGGACATACAAGAAATACAAATAATTTCTATGAACAAATATATGCCTATGCCAGCCCATGGCTCATCCTCCCACTGGCTCATCGATTCAGTGACGTGGCCTTGACGCCCGTTAAAGAGAGCCTATACGATCGAGGTGGCAACAAAACAGAAAACATGCATTACTGAATAGTATTACAGTATATTACAGTACTGTCTGGGGTTAAAGCATATGAAACAGCGGATTGGAGGCGAGGCAGCCAGCCATCCCTCCATCCACTGCTGCAGTCATCCTCCATCCACCCATCACCCCTCTCTCGACATGGACATACATCGCAATCAAACGCAAATCTCTTGGACGCAAGCCCTATTGTCAAATTCCTTGCATGACCAAGTCGTTACGCCCCAGGAAAGCTAGCAGTGCCAGCAGCCAATATCACGGTATCACTTCACGTGCGTCGACTCGTTATAATTGTTGCCCTGATCCCTTCGTTGACAGGGGATTTATTGAATAAACGGCAATTTGCTGTTGTCCATCATAATCAGGCCACAATGCAACACAGCCATCCAATGCTGCTTGGCTTCGCGTCAATGCAACATCCCACATCACACTTGAAACCTGAAAATACAGGAACATACAAAACGTATCCCGCCTCCAGCTGCGATCAGGGTTAGAGGAAGCAACCGGTTTCGCCGCGAGTATGTCATGACCTGGATGAACGCATTGCTCCCCAATGTTCTCCATATGCGAGATCGGTCCATCAAGACAACATAGACTTCAACAAACCTTAAGCTGCATAGGTCCATTTTTCAACTTTAAGCTGCATGATCTTTGATCCCGCCTCAGTACAACCACCTTTGAATGCAATGCTCCGTGCTTCGAGACCAAACAGTGCAAGACACATTGAGGTTCAAAGGCTTGTGTCCTTCCCGAACAGCCCTTTTGCATCCTTTTGTCCTTAATTCGCTTTTTTTTCCTTCGTGAATCATGACATTTGTCTCTTTTTCCCTCGCACTGTCAGCTTCCCCGCTGTCCCGGCGAATATATGCGAATACTAATGGTTCCGCCAAATCAAACTTGTCAGCTGACAAATCATGCACCCTGCGTGACAACTGAACTCAAGCAACATCCAATACTAATAAACAAAACATCTGGCAACCTTGAAATCAGCAGAACAGCACAGCCACTTACAGTACTTCATCTGTCACGCCACCATGTTTGGAATCATGTCTCACTTTCAATAATCAAATGCCTCGGCTGCAACGGGTTTGAATGTTTGCCTGCCAGAATGAACTTGCTGTCAAGTGGCTGTAGTGGCACCGATTTGCTACGCCTCCTTGGAAATTCAAAAGCAAATCCATCACACTTCCTGACCCGCTTGAATGCAAAATGTTTTATGCGCAACCCGCCAGTGCAGCTCAGGAATCGAGGTTTGAGGTCAATGCGATGGGCTTGGGCGGCTTGGGCGGCTTGGTCTTCAAAAACAGTCCGAAGACTCCGCCGTAACTTGCCTTTGCATGATCAGGTCGAGTTGGCATGAGCTGAACCTGTCTGAGGTATCCACGCTGTTGGGCGTGACATGGCCTGTTTGGAACCTGCAGGATGCTACTTGATCACACCACACACAAGCACGAGCGATCTGCAAATCCTGGTCTTGCTTTGCTTTCAAGTCTTAGAAGATCAGTTTGTTTGTTGCAACACCGAGGAAGGTTTGGGCGTGCGCGTTCTCAACTTGTAATTATCCTTGTATATATATGTATATATATATGTATGTATGTATGTATGTATGTATGTATGTATGTATGTATGTATGTATGTATGTATGTATGTATGTATTTTTTTCTCCTGAAGGTGCATTTCGGTTGGGCCGTGGTGGCCTGGGTTCCGGCGCTGTGGCCTCAGTGCCGCTCAGCCATCTCAAAAGAAGTCGACAAGGATCTCCGGGTCATTGACAGTGTCCGCCTCTTCTTCAGCTTCTTCGTGGGTGGTGGCACTCTGCTCATCGGTCTCTGGCTGCATCTCAGCCGAGAATCTGAGCTTTTTGGGCACGGGAGGTGATAGTTCGTCAGAACAATCCTGAGCCGGTGCAACTGGAGCAGAAGTTGGCTGGGTGTCATGGCCGGTGATGTGGCTTCCACATGGGTGCAGCTGCAGCTGTGCTGAGGTGTGGCTCAGGTGGTACTGCAGGACCTTGAGGATTGGTCTGACTGAAGAAATGAGCCAGTGTCGGCGAGGTCGGTTTGTGACCTTTGCATTCCCGTTGGAGCCCTTTCGTGAGAATCAGCCGGTCTTGAGCATCCAAGTGGGTGTGAAGTCCGCAGCCTTTGCATTGAATGCCTCTGCCAATCTGCCACAAAGTGTGGGTTCCGTGTGCTGCATGCACTTGGGAGAAAGGTGCATCAATGCAGCTGCTGGTCAGGAAGTGGTTGAATAACTCTTCATTGGCCCGTTTATGGATGGCCAGGTTGCATTTGGTGCACTTCAAGTAGCCAGTGGTCTCTTGTAGGTGATGAACATCAGGGGTGGTCGGATGTTCTTGTTGGAGCTGAAGTAGTGAGGCTATGCGGCTAGCCCTTGTGGGTTTCTTCCCAACTGCCCGGCCGGGTGGGAGATCTGGTTCAGGTGTTGGTGCTGTGAGTTGTGCACAGTCCTCTTGGAGCCTTTCTTCGATCATGGATGCCGGCAAGCCCTGGTGGACCCTGGTTTGGCAGGTGTGGCATTGGTAGCCGCTGCGGTGGGCCTTCCACTGATGCTTGCCCGGTTGCCAGGGCTGCTGACACTGAGCGATGAGGGTCTTTTTCCTTTGCTTGGTCTTGTGGGCTGTTGCTCTGCCCGGTTTGGTGTGCAGATAGTGCTCCTTGTCTTCGTAGATTTTGGCCAGTCTGGCGGCCGCACGTGTGTAGATCTCCAGGTGATCTTGGTCGAGGACGCGCTGCCAAACTTCTTTCTCGGGGTTGTGGATGCTCTAGGGCTGCATCCCTTTGCCGCTGGCGTAGATGTGGTTCGTTGCCCGGAGCGTCAGGGGTCTTGTGGTTCTTGTGGATGTAGAGGGGTGTGATCAGAGTAAAGTACTCTGCTGCTTGCCCCTGGACCAGGTCATGAAAACCCTTCCGCTTGGCTGGGTTGATCCAAGCTTCCCAGACCGAACTGACCTGGACAATCACCCGTGTTGGTGTCTGGATGAATTGAGCCAGAGTGAGGAGCCCTTGGAAAATGGCACGTGCTTTCGTTTGAGGGCCTCTTGCCATTCCACTAATAATACCTTTTCTTTGCAGAGCTCCGAGAGAGTAGCCATGAATGCAGAGGGCATAGATCCAGGCCTGAGCTCGTTTGTCTCCTGACGTGGGAGTGGCATCGATAGTGACTGAAAGCCCTTGCCACGGTTGTAGTGGAAGTGGTTCCAGAGATTGCCAACAGCCATGCCCTGCCAGGCCGAGTGGACAATGGAGGTGGTCCTGTGGCTCTTTTGGAATCCACCCGTAAGCCCAGAGAGGCTCTTCCAGCGGGTCTTGTAGCCTTTCGGTCCATGGCGCTGGAAGTGGTGCGTGCTTTTGGTTGTGGTGCCATTTGCACATCCAAATGATGTGCTTCGGTGTCGCCGGGACTTGGCAGATGGGGCACAGTTTGGTGCTGGTGCCATCCTTGAACCTGATGGCTGCTTGGTTCCAAGTGCGGATGTGTGTGGCCTGGGCCTTGCTGAGGCTTTTGGTGGCCTTAGATGCCGTGGTCCAGTCAATGCCGCTGACGAGTGCTTGGCAGTTGCGTCTGCTGGCGAACCGATGCTGGCGCTGCTGTTTGGCCTCTGCTTGTAAGAGTTCTTCCACCTGCCACCTGTTCTTCTTGAAACGGTGCTGCAGGGTGGTGATGCGCCGTCTTCTGCCTGCTTGGTGATCTATGCCTAAGTCTCTCATGACCGACTGGATGGGTGGATCATCGGGCCCGAGGAGTTTGGCCAGTGCTCTATGGGTGGCTCTGTCGGTGACTATAAAGGCAGTTTTGTGGTTGTTGACTTTGAGGCCGGCATCTGTCAGTTGACTACGTAGTTCATGCCAGGCTGTCACAATGCGGGTGGCCAATGTATCTGGGTTGTGGTGATTGCCATCAAAACCAATGTCATCGACCCATCCGTTGAGGTGCAAATCTGGATGCTTGGCCTGGAAAGGGCTGAGGATGGGTTGGAGAAAGGCTTTAGCCAGCAATGGGGCCTGAGGGCACCCGGCAGCTACGCCATGGGTGACGTGGAACCAGTGGCTGAGCTCAGCATCAGCTAGCACTGCTTTTGGCCCCGTGTAGACCTGCATGGCGAACTCAAGGGCAAGTGGTGGATAGTCATGTGCTTGTGCCACTGTCTGTAGTTTCTTAAGGTCGATGGTGTCGTAGAAGGTGCTCATGTCCAAAAGAACTGTGATGCCGTGTTGTGCCAGTGTTTTGTTGCTTTCCTGGCGAAGTAGCCGGTCAAGAGCTACATGAAGTGCTGTGGCTCCTGGTCGTGCTCGATCATAGTCCATGGATGAGGGCAAATTGAGTTGCCAGCTGTCGAGCATGCTCTTGCGGAGGCGACACCAGGTGCGATAGAGGACGCTGGTTAAGGTGATTGGTCGTTCCACCTTCTCGTTTTTGGCCAGCATCACCACCAGGCTCATCTGGAGTTGTGTGGGCATGGTGGCTGATTTCTCCATGTCTTGCAGCAGTTGGAGCAAACTTCGCAGGGCCTGAGGGGGAGTGTTCCTCAGGAGCTGTGTGCTGATGGCATCTGGTCCACATGCTCGGTCCGGCAGCTGCTTGAGGACCCTGGCCAGGTGTCCTATCGTGAGTGGTGGTAGTTGTGCAGCTTGCTTTTGGGCACTGTCCTGTAAGGAGTCCCTTGCCAAAGCTTGGTTGTCGGCAGTGGGTTGCCAGTGTTGATGCCAGTCGTGGAGTCGATGTCTCATTCTGTCAGCCATGGGGACAGTGCGGTATGGCCGTTGCCAAGCCAGCTCACTGGCCTTGAGGTTCCTGAAAAGACCTCGAAGTCCTTTGGCTTCACCTTGTCTGATCCAGGCAGCGTACTGAAGTTGTCCCTCAGTTCGGGATTGCTCGAGTGCTTGAGTAAGCTGATGTTGGATCGTATGCTGCATGAGCTCAAGTGTGCGTGGATCCTTGTGGTGGTTCCAGTGCTGTATCATGTCCAGGAACTGAGCCCAGGCTGGTTCGCCGATCCAGTGCTTTGGTGTGGATTCGGTGGCTTTGAGGAAACCTTGTATGGTTCCTGGGGATGGGTGCGCTTGGTGCTGGATGAGGCTCAGGCGTGCTTGGAGCTGTTCCCAAAAGGCTGGTTTACCTTTCTTCCAGATTGGACCGGCCTTGGGCGAGGTGAGTGGTTTGTACTCCGCCTGGAGGTTGGAGGCTCGCCCTTGTGGTGCCCAGGGGTGCTGTTGTAATAGATATTGTTCAGTGACAGAAACCCAGTCCGCAAGGTGTTTTGCTGGCTGATTGGGCATGGTGTCGTAGAGCTGGACTTCTTCGACCTGTGTGACGTAGGTGGTCCATGGCCGAAAACCGGGATTGGGCCGGTCAGGGAGTGCCGGGAAGGTGCGCGACTGGTTGTAGTTCCTGAAGTCGTCTGGCAGTTCAAGAGCATAGGTGACCAGACAATGCGGTCGCCAGGGGACTGCCCACTCCGTAGTCATTGAAGTGAGGGGAGCGAGCTGGTTATGGATCAGAGCGTAGTCCAACACATTGCCATTGAGGAGTGTGGCATCCGGGGCAAGAATCTGCCAGTGAAATTTGGATCCCAGAACTGTGCCTTGGAATTGGCTTATGTATGTATGTATTTTTTTCTTCTAGAGGGGCAGAGTGCTCAGGCCGTGGTGGCCAGTGTCGGTGGCATTTGCCTCAGTGGCCGCTTCTCAGAAGGTGCCTGTCACGTGGTTGGCCATTAGAAGTAGTCCACTTCCATGCATGGGTCATCTTGTGTGGGTTCTTCCTCTCCTTGCTCCTGTGGGCTGTCTGCCAAGTTGGAGCTAGCAGCCGCTGAGGAGAACCGGTGCATCCAAGGTGGTCACTGCCGGCTCTGGAGGTGGCTGGGTCTATGGCCTGTTTGGGTGACTTTTTTTGCCTGGGTGCCTGTCTGGCTGTGCTGGCTTTGGGTGCTGAACAACTGCACGAGGGTGGGTGATTTCTGACTCTGACCTTGGCAGGGTCGCTTGAGGGCCTTGGTCAAGATCACCCTGTCCTCCGCGTCAACGTGACTCTGGGTGCCACAATTGGTGCACCTGATGCCCTTTCCCTTTTGCCATAGGGCATGGGTGTGGTGGGCTTCATGTGCTTTGCCATAGCTTTCATCGATGCAGCGGCTGTTGATGAACTCCTGGAAATTGGTTTCATTCGTGGATGGACAAGCTGCATTTCATGCACTTGAGGTACCCAGTCGTCTCTTGGAATGTGTGCTCGTCAGGAGCTTGTGGGTGTTGTTGCTGGACTTCAAGGAGCTGCTTGATGGTGCTGGCCCTTGTGAGCTTTTGCCCAACCGGTTTGTTCGGGCGGAGATCAGGCTCTGGTGCTTCGTGGACCAGGAGTTCACAGTCCTGCTGGAGATGCTGTTCAATGACTTCCA